CTGAGACATCTTCCTGCTTTACCTGCCTCATCCTTTGGTTCACTGGACTCCGCACACCTCAGACCCATAGCATTTTCCTCCTCCAGCTACTAATGCTTCTGGCCAGTATAGAAAGCTATCTCTGCCTGGTTTTATTTTTATCCTTTTTTCCATGTCCTAAATCTTTATATGCAGAGGCCAAGCATGTTCCCCCGCTGAGAAGCAGAGCCCTCATGGGTACTGAGGAGAGGCTCCTCTTGCAGAGCTGCCTGCATTGATGACTGTGAGTGACATTTACTTCCCATGACGCTGCGCTTGTCTGTGCTGTGGTGAGCCTCTCTGAAGGACGGTGGCAGGCCCCAGGATGAGCAGTAGTGTGTGGCCTGGGCTGTGCTGGGGAGTGCCATAGCTGCTATTCCCTTTGGGGGTGTGTCTTTCCTTCGAGGTGCACAGCCACACGAGCGAGGTGTGGCTGGCAAGCGGCCAGGGTATGTTGCTAGACTTGGGAGCTCAGTATGCTTCTGCTTGCCTCCAGGGTTATCTCACCCCCTGCCAGCCAGCCAGGAACGTGCTTCGACTTGCTCAGTCCTGCTCTTCCTAATTATACCTTCCTGGAGAGCTAGACGTAAATCCCCACCCATCCTCACTGTTCTTCTCCGAGCTTGCCCTTTAATGGCACACCTTTTTCCTTTGATTCTCATCCCCAGCTATTCCACCTCTCAGCACTTGTGTCCCTTTCCCTCTTGCAGCCCTCAGCTGCTGGGTTGGTGAGTGCTAGAAAAAGATGCCCTGGACTCATACTTGCTTTCTGGACTGTCAAAAGAAATACTCTTATGGCTAACACAGCTTGAGCCTGTGCAAGTCATCACCATGGTAAATCAAGACCATTCAGAAGGAATATCCTCTAGTATTGTAACTGAGAATATGTGATAAACGAATTGTTGTAGCCCAGGCTAAAGATGAACCAGAAATTTTGAAGTGCTTTAAGGTCACTTGCTCCGGAGCACAGCCATCTTCTACATACCATGGCTAAAGAGGATGTTTCTCTAGACACCTTTGACTTTCCTTTGAAGATGATGTAAATAATTTTCTTGTGCACACCTTAAGCTTTTCTGCAGCAACAGAAGAACAGCCCAAACATCTGAGCCTTTCCCCACAGTTTGGTGGAAAGCACTTCCTATTGGATATGAGATGGACGTGTCCAGTCATACAGTTCACCCCAGGAGGCAGGGATCCACTGAGCTGTTGCTGCATGAACTGTAAGGAGAAACTGCAAGTGTGGGAATACATTCAATACTGGTGAAGCACAGCAGACCACAAGGGAGGCTGCTCAGCATGTCACCCATGCAGAGAGCAGCGTTAGGAAACGTAAAGGTTGCAAAGTCAAGCTTACAGCAGAGAGGCCACGGAGAGGTTTATGTGTCGAGGTGTGTCAATGCTGTCTTTAGTGGTACAATCTCAGATTGTAATATAAATATAAAAAACATATAAACAGACAAGTTTCTGGGCACATCGGCACCTTTCCTGTCCTTTCAGAGCCAAAATGCTTCAAAAACATGTTTGCTTCTCCTGCTGCATATAAGTTGATCTAATAAAAGCTATTACCTTTCCCAGCGTTTGTCTGCCTTTGTTTCTGGAGCCGCTTGACTGAAGGACCAGAATAGCACGGGGCATGTTCAGTACAGGACTGCAACCAACACACTTTCTTGGGAATGTTTTGACAGGCATTAGACACCATTGAATCTGTATTTAGCTTTTGCTAAAGGCGAAGCTGCAGTCAAGTCAGTGAAAATCTGCTCACTGCAATGGGAAGCCAGAACTTCCTGAGACTTTTTCAGCTGTTGCAGGGTTGAATTCTGTGTGCTCCCTAGACAACATACATTTCTATAATTTAATCATGTACCTTTCACATATCTTTTAACATATGAGACTTTCAGTTCCTTCTCAACCTTTTTAATTGTCTTTTTCTTACAAAAAAAATCTGTCATTTGGGCACACCAGGAAACTTTTGAGGTATCTGTGAGCCAGACTTGGAATTTTTACCCCCAGTCTTTAGCCTCATTTTTCATATCCATCATTAGCACTGGTACCAGTGTGGAAGGCAGCAGGAGTGTTACTCATTCTGTGATTACTTGTACTAGCTCCTTACGGACAGTTCAGATCACCCCTGTTCTCTGAAAATTAAACTTGGATATTTTATATTAATGTTTTGGGTTGGGTTTTTTAACAAACTGCCGTAGATGGCAGCAGGTTCTGTACCTCCTGTTGTCCTCAAACCCTGTCTGCCATTCTGCGAGATGAGCAAATAGTCAAAACAGCATTACAGCACTCAGTGCAAAGGTCAGTAGAGATCTGTATTGGCCAGGAGGTCAGATGTGATAATATACCAGTCTTTCTGGACATAAACTGTATTTTAATGCTCTTTGGGACCATTTAAGAAACTTTACAGAGCTTTTGTCAGTAACAATAACAAAATTTGAGGAACATTATAAAACAATTTTGCATCTTTAGAGAGTACCTCATAGAGCCTATTAAACAGCCTTTGAGAGCTGTAATTAAATCTTTGAAATATGTCTGGGACAGTTTTGTTTCAGACTTGCCTCCAGCCCCTTTGACTTGAAAAAACATGCTTGTTTCCAGGAATATGGCTGTTGCATTTAACTGAAATGAGAAGTTGACTGGGGGGGCTGCTGGCTGTGAAACACCCTGGTGCTGCTGATGCTGCTCGGAGCTTGGAGGAAGGCCTGGTTGCCTCTGGTAACAGCTAATAAGAAAAAGTAAATTCCTCCTCTTTATTTAGACGCACTTTCAATTATTTATTTCCTCATTTTTGCAATACTATTACTTAATTTGTCTTGGAATAAACAAAAATAGTTCACCCCATAAGCCCAATAGTGTTCTTCCTTTCCAGTCAGTTGAGACACGTCTCAAGAGTTGCATGATTCAAAATGCTGTTGCTGCCGGACCTGAGGAATTAAAAAACTCTTGTTCAAGAGTCCTGAAGCAGGCATTTGGAGACTAGATTTCTTCTTCCTGCCCTAGGAAATAAATGCCAAGTGCAGGATGGGAGCATCCCCTGCACCTCACCAGCACCACCCTGGTGGGGCTGAGCCCCTGCAGGGCAGGCAGCCTCAGCAGCCCTTCAGCTCCCCTGAGGCAGCATCAACCTCGCAGTTGCACTCTGCATTGGGTCAGGGAGGGGCAGAGTTGTGGGAGAGAGGGCACAGCCACCAAAACCATTGAATAAACCCACCAAAACCACTAAGCCCTGCTAAACATCACAGCATTGAAATTCTATTTCCATATAATAAATAAATAATAAAAAGCTTATTTCCTTCACCTTTCAGTTTCTGGTGTTTTACTTTCTATTAGATAAATCTTCAAGTTTTTTCTCATTGTACGTAATACGTTGAAGTGCTCACAGCTCCTCAACCTAGACCTTTACTTACTGCAAATACCCTCAGCCTTGCTGCAGTAGGATGCAGCTGGGAAGCACAGCTGGCCCTGGGATCAGTAATTGCATTTTCTCCTCACCTAGGTCCTTGAAAACTGCTCAGCCACGCCTAGGGTGAGAGCTCTGGGGCAGCCCTCTGGGCAAAGGTAGCATCTTGTCAGCAGTACCCTGCTTGTGCCTGGCTGGATCACCATGGCTTGAGCAGAGCTGGTCTCTGGCAGGGGATGGCCAAGTCTAGCTGAGAGCAGATCTCTGCTGGGCAGGTTTCCCTCCCCAAAGCTGCACAATCCAGGAGGGATTTCCATCCACCTGAGGTGGCCCCAAGAGCTCCAGCCAGCCCTGCCTGATGACTCTGCTGCAGACTCACTCCCCTTCAAATCCTGCCCTGGTCCAGGTCTTCTGCCCAGCACCTGCACCCCAGGTGAAATGAGTTTGACTGGTCTTAGCCCAAAGTTTACCTGATTATGTCCACAGCACAGAAATGAGCTCTATAGTGTGGAGAAGTTGCTCCTATGACGCTGGGACAGGGTGGCACAGGTGGCCCTCTTGAGCTGGGGCTGGTCAGAGTGGCTGTGGTGGGCAGTGTGACAGTAACTAGGCTGTCTTAGGTGGCCAGGGGCACAGGCTGGATGCACTTCAAAGTAGCTCCAGCAGCTATTTGCCTGGAATAAGATGTCACTGAGAAACTGCTGACTGTCCCAAACCAAAGACCACCTCCCATGGACTTCATAGGAAATCCCAAAAGTAAAAAAATAAGGAGGAATGGGAAGGTTTAGTCAGAGGCCTTTCTACTGGAATGAGAGTGGCATGTTGCAAACAGGAGGTGGAGAAGAAAGAGCAGGTCACCATGATGAAGGAGGAGTGGATGGAGCTAGGAACTGGTCCTGATTTCGCTTAAATTCCTGGGGGAGACTGAGGCAGAGATGATGCTCATGTATCTGTTTCCCAGCTATCTCCCTGAGGCACACTGCATGGCCTCCAAGCAGCGGGCACAGGTAGCCCAAACCCAAGCCCACCACCCCAGAGCACCCAGCACACCCAGCGATGTCTCCAAGTCAAGAGGAGGCGAGGGCACGCTGAAAGCAGCCCTTCCAGTTGCCATTGCAGGGGATGGGAGAGGCAAGGCAGTGTGGTAGAGATTGAATCTAGTGATTATTTAAGGGATTTGCTGTCTCTTTCGTTATCCCTATCTCTCTTTTTCCCTTTCTTTCTTTATTTTTTTGTTTTCCCCTTTTCCCTCCCTCTTATCCCTTTCGTGGTGCATTTGTCTTCGAGGAACCTGGGGTGTTCTTTTCATCAGTTCAATCTCTCTCTGGCACTTGAGTCCTGATTGGCTGAAGGACTTAGGGAAAAAAAAAATCTTTAATTAAGTAGATAATCTCTTCTTAGGAAGTTCTGCGGCTCCATTTCACCAACCCCCTTTAGCTCTTACTTTAGGATTGGTTACCCTTCGCAGAAGTTGGGATTCAGGAGGCATATGCCTCTTCATCACACTAGGACCGCGGAGTGGAAAATAGCTCCATCCCTTCCCTAATTCTGTTGTGTTCCCTTTTTTTTTTTTTTTTTTTTTTATTTTCCTCTGGTGGTACCCAAGGTTTTTTTAGGATCTTTCTCTCTTTTTATTTGGATTTTATATTTCACATGGACCCTTATCTGGGCATCTTCTTCCTCACTCCCTTCTTCCAATCCTGCTGTGCCTGGTGAGTATTGAGAGCACCTCAGTCTGTGTCACAGGCAGGTGCTCTTCCTGGACACCCTAAGGAAATTCTTCTTCACCTTCCTAAATGTCCCCTTTCCCTCTTAGCTCCGTTCTAGTCTTTAATGGGACCAGATATTTAACTAAGTCCCAACATGCCCGTTGGCAGAGAGGTTAGATCTAGTTTTCCCCCACACCTCCCAGCAATAACTATATGGGCCAAATCCTGAGCCAGGGTAGAAAAGAGTAGGCAAGAGTGGAAGCAGAGGATCTGGTCCCTCACTTCCAACTGGGAAGATAACGGGAAAGCCAGGGATTTCTGTTTCTCCAAAGACTCACAGTCAACTTGTCTCTGGTCTTAATCAAATCAAGTGGGGCTTCTCCCGTGCTCCCCAGATAAGACAGTCCCTGATTAAGAGCTCAGAGCCAGCAGGGGTGAGTTAGATCTGCAGAAGCATCACTCCGGATGAGCAGCCCGAGACCCAGGCTCCTTGGCAGGCACAGGGTCAGGATTACACGTCTGAAATGCACGTATTAGGATTTCCTGGGGAGAAGCTTTTGCTGCGGAGATTGCTACAGCTTGGTTCTCATCTACCTGAGTCCTGTCAGACCAGCTCCCCTGTCTGCAAACCTGCAGTCATCTCCTGTGGGCATCCTGCGCTGTCCTAAAGGTGGTTTTAGATTTGTTTTATGAGGGTAAGCAGAAAGGCATTACAGCTGCATCAAATCTCATATCATTCCTTGCAGAGTGTATTTATACCATACCCAGATGGACTAAACTGATCTGCCTCTGGAGGTGTTTTTCCTTGGTGGTTTTTACTGAGCAGTAGTAAATTTTACTGAATTTATTCTCCATTTCTGTGATGCCCTGGGGAATCTGCTTCGCAGGTAACAAACTCATCGCTGACAGCAAGGAAACTCTTCTCCTGTTCAATTACCAAAATCCCCTGCTTCCCCCATAGCACATCTCCAGGGTTATTACCATGGATGGAGAAACCAAACTTACAGAGAGAGAAACTCAGGAGTAAATGGGAACTTTCTCCTGTTAGGCTGGGAGTGAAATTCATGTTCTTGCAGAGATTTTCTACTCCCTTCATTAAAAGAATGTGTGTCAATTTGTATCTGTCTAAATATTATACAGCAGCAAACTCCAGATAAATCTCCCTTCTGGAAAAAGAGGAATATGTACTTTTTGCAGAGATAGGCAAGAACTCATTCTGATTTTATCTTTCTGCTGTCTGTGTCTTGCTTTCCTCAATATGAACAGGTTTAGAATACATTTATTTTTTTTTTAATCAGCATTTTAAAGAAACAGTTCAAAGGGGAGAAATTTCAGATCACAAAGTAGACTTAAATACAGAAATCGCAGGCATTTTCAATGGAAACTGGATGTCTAAATTCACTGTCTGCCTTTCAGAAGTTTTTACCTAATAGGAAAGTTTATATCAAGAAAGCCCTGTTTCTTCCTGCACGGGGCTCATAGGTAATGATTTCCTAAGAGAAAGTAAAATTGCAAACTTTATTCAAAACTATCATATTACAGATCCTGTCCCTTAAATGTTGAGGAGAAAAAAAAAGCAAGGTTCATGGGAATCATACAATAATCTGCTTGAAATTTTTGCTGGTCTTCTTTATCTGATCCAAAAGCTTAAAACACAAGAAGATAGTTTCTTCCTATGATTTAATTGTGAGAATTGGGACTGGGGGGCAATATAGTTCAACAATAATGGTTTATATGTATATATGTTGCCACTTCCCTTCTGTGAGCGTGGATTAGATTCTGCCGTGTTAGCTAGGTTGAATGATCAATGTGTTCCTAGATGAGCAAAATGTCAGGGTTGCATTTAGGAACCTAAAAAGAAATAGAGCAGGAGAAATGAAATAGAATAAAAAAGTAAGGCTCCAAATGCTACTGAGTTGCTGGCTGTTCTTCTATCCCCTGGGAATAACGTTATCAACCTCTAACAGCAGCTTGTTTCTGAATGTTTTTTACATTTCATCTGTGCCATTGCCTTTAGTTTTTGGTGTCACTGGTTTTCTAACAACTTAGGGGAGCAGTACTTGAGAATGAAACCCAGATCCAAAGCAAAATTGTATCCATTTTCTGTATTTACAGTAATGTCATTAGTGTAAATACAGCTTTATAATTTTCTGAAGAGCTGAGCCAGCAGCACAGTAGCATGAGCAGCTGATAAGTTACCAAATACTTTAACAGGAGGTTTCGTAAGGCTCTTGAGGCATATTAAACTGAGGAGCGAGGTGGTATTATTGCTGAAAGTTGCAAGTGAGCAGAAATTACCAGAGGCTTATTAGCATCAGATATGTGTAAAATATAATGGGACAGCTGCTTGGCAGGGTTATTTGTTTCCTGGTTCAATAAAATTGCAATCGAGAACTCCTGTTACAGATATTAATTAGCTTTGAGACAATTTCCTAATAGCAGATGCAAAGAAAATCACTTGCCCTAGATTTGTCTTTTACTTGAACGCATGGAGTTTCAGTGAGGGAAGCAGCGTGCCCTTCCCAGGGCTCTGCATGGGCTGGGAACAGGGCTGAAGAACTCGGTGGGACTCCTCTCTCTACCTTCTGATCTCTGCTCCACTTCAGTCCTGTAGCACTATGCTGGAGTTTGAAGGTAGAGGGAAAGAGGTTCAAATACCTAAAACCCTGTGAGCTTTCTTAGATAAGGGAAATAATTTCAAATGGTTCCTTTGAAGTGTGTGATTCCAGAAAGTTTTAAATCAGTGTGGTGACACTGAAGTCACTGGGGGCTGGTTTACACCTGCTGTGGATGCACCTAGCTGGTTAGTTTTTAGCATTACATTCCACTTTCCTTTACAGTGGTATGGAAAATTAGTAGAACTAAACTAAATAAAAATCACACTACAGAGACAAAAATCAAGAGAGATTAATTTTCATAGTGATTCCTATTTGTAGCACGGGGATGACCCTAGTAGCATTAACAGTTTTGCACTACATCCGTGGCTTAATTATTCCCTGCCCTTGCTGGAGACCATATCCAAAAGAGATACGCATTTTGCTTAGCTAGATCATATGAGCAAAGACAAAGAGCACAGATTTTGTCTCTGTTATTATCTTCCCTTCCCTCTCAGTGTAAAAATGAAGAATTTCAGCTAGCCTCCAGCCACATAACAGTTCCGTCTCCCCTTCTCCCAAACCCACTTGCAGCTGCAGGAGTTAAATGTGGGGGTCAGGTGTACCAGTCTAAATTAATCCTTTACTTTCCTAAGTCCTACAAACCTGCCCATCAGCGTGCCTGCCCGTGGATCAGAGAGCTCAGGGAAAATGCCTTCTGTCTCTCTGACTTAATAAAAAAGTTCAGAATATCCTGCTGTGAAATTGCTACTGTACCGTTTATTCAGCTGCAGGTGATGAACCAGCATATCCTGAACTTGGCCTTTTTGTGAACCTTGAGGTTTATCCTGTGAGGAACAGATCCTCTGCTTCAATGCAGTTATGTCAACTGACTCCTGCTAACAGGCTGGTTTGCTGTAAACCCTGAATTTGTGGATTACTGTCCTCCTCCTAAAGCTACCCTTCTAACTGCTCAGATGTTCCTAATCCAAGATAAGGCCAGCAAGGGTTTGCAGCAAATCCTTCTTGAACGCTGTCAATTCAGCTTTTCCTACCCAGGTAGGAAGCAAAGCAGATGGGATGTATCTCTTGTTTTGGCCACAACAGCAAGATAAGAAAGGACTTGCAGTTCTCTAGATCTTGCCTATATGGGAGCATTTTGCAGCGCTTTCTTACAGCTGCTACCAGGGGCTCAGATTCACACTGACACCATCCTGAGTGTGGTCCCCATAGCAAAGCACTTAAGGTCAAGGCAAAAGACGTGAGGGAAACCAGATGGAAAAATGACTTGTTCATGCTGCTACCCAGTTGCGTTAGGATGGGGACCCATGGAGCTTACACAGTCTGAATAGCCCCAGGTTCATGGCCCTGTGTGATTCAGGTCACCCGATGCTCTAATCACCCAGCTACAGATGCCGTCTCTCCAAGTCCCAGGAAATATTTAATTAGCTGTACAATGCAGAAGCAGCTCCCAAAGGAAAATTCCTCTGCAAAACAGCCATCGACTTCGTGCTAAAGTACCCATGGGGGCTGGAGCGCAGCTGGGTCTGAATCCCAGGCCTGGAACAAAGGGAAGGGATCTCCTGCTCTCACAGTGCTCTGGCACAGCCCTCTCCCTCCTGTTTTGGCCCAGGGGAATCTTTCCCAATGCAAGCTCCATCAATACAGATGAATTTCCACCAAAAAAAAAAAAAAAGAAAAAGAAAAATTAGACTTGCCAGAGTAGAACTTTGCAAACCAGTTCTCTCAGTTCTGACTAAACTGTGAGCAATAGCAAAGGGTGGGTTTCTTGTGATTTCTACCAAGCTGATCACCTTTTTGTGGTGTACTTCGGAGAGGACCTCTGAGGGTAGTTCTAGTGCAGGTGAACAGGCTCGCTGACCACATGAGTGGTTTTCCAGGGCAGGGAAACGTCCTCTCTAAGTCTCTCGTGTCTGATGTCTGAGCACCAGTCCTGCCACCCTGTCTGCCCCTATGTGCATGGCATGGCTGCAACATGGCTACATTTTGTTCCTGGTCTTGGATGGCAGTGCTTGCTCGTGCCTGTGCTGAATGCCACGCTGGGATGCATCCACATTCTCCATGCTGGATTTGTAGCAGAACAGGACAGTGCCTTTCTCTCCTTTACCAGGGATACCTGTGGCTCCAGACAGCACCACTTGAAAACACACAGGGAGAAAAGCTTTACCCTAACCTGCACCTTTCTCCTCTACATCTATCCATGGTCACCCAGCTACTCTATTTTCAGGGAATGGAGAGGAGTTAGAAAAAGTAGCAAAAATCACTGCACGCCAGGTAGCCCAACTGCAGCTTTGAGCTTGCTTCTCTACTCAAGGGACAGATGTAGGTTAAGGCTCTATAAGGGAAAAGGAGAGGCATCCTTCACTGGGAGACATCCAGCATTTGGAGCAGAACATAATCTCAAGGAGAAGCCCAGTTCCTCTCAGTGCCTGCTCTAGCATTTTTCCCACTCACTCCCTACAAGGTGAGTACTGGATTCGCAGTGGTGGTCACTGAACCTCATAGAGTCCTAATGCTGACTGATATTTGGACTGAAACAGGCTTTCTTGCTGGAGGAAGAGACTCGGACAGGCCAGCATTGGGTCTGCTCTGCATGCCTCTGAGGAGAGTGATGAAGACCAGCCTTGCAGTCCTTGGAGATGATCCCTTCACACCTTCAGTGGGAACTCCAGGAAGTCGTTTTGGCTAGAACATCACACCTTCCCCTTGTACCCTCACTGCCCCCCATGTAGTGCCCAGCAGGATGGGAAGGATAAGCGTGTTTGTGCTCAGCTACCACTCCAAGGGGAGAGTGCAGGCAGCCAGTGCTGGCACCACAAGAAAACAAGGGACCGTGAGCTGAAGGGATGCTGCCAGGACACACACTGTGAAGGAACAGCGGTGTGACCTCCTCCTTCCCTTGGCATAGTCCAGCTCCTGGCACTGGGGGCAACACTACCCCCAGTTAAGCCAAGAAAGGTAAAAAGCAAGGCTGGTGGAACAGGAAAACACTAGAAAAACAGAGGGATTGGCATGAAGGGTAGATGTGCAGAGAAAAGGAAAAAGAGGGAGCAGAGGGAGGGTTGCATCCTGGTTGGAGAAGCAGGGTGTGGGGGAAGGAGAAAGCAGCATCCTGTCTCGCAGCAAGGGGAGAGACCAAAGGTGCTTGCAGCCAGGAGACAGGCAGGCTGTGGGGGCAAGAGGAGAGCCCTGGGATGCCAGGCATTCCCCAGGCCCCTCCACCATCACCCCCTCCCTCTGACACTGTCTCTGTCTTCCAGGTCAGTGAATAATTTCCTGATGACGGGCCCCAAGGTAAGAGAAATCCCTTTGATCTCTGTCGCTGATTCCACTAAACCCAGGGAGGGAGGGACTGCTCCTTCCCACTTCTCTCCACGCAGCCTTAGCCAGAGCTCCCCTCACCCCCATGTTGCCAGCAGCAAGACAGGACCACTGGGAGTAACCTGCTACGAGCTGCAATTCCTTGGGCTCCCCAGCCAAAGGCTCTTTTAAGCTGGTTGGGGCCAGATTTTGGAGTTTGTTGGCACCAGCTGAGGGTGTCACTTGCCATCTATTGCCTCCTGATGATGAGGTTAGCATCAGAACCCACATTCATAGAGCTGGAAAGGTATTTTCTATGGGCCTTGGAGAACACACCTCTCCAAGGAACACAACTGGAATTGCCAGGACCTTGTACAGTGTTTCTGACCCCATGCCTCCTTGTACCCCTCTTTCAGAGGCTTTTTTTCCTAGCCAGGACCCACTGTAAAATTCACCCCATTTTTGTTCTGGCTGTTCTCCAGGAACACCTCCAAGCCCATCTGGTTTTTTCTACAGGTCTTAATGCTACACTGGAGTGACCTTGCCCCAGAGCACTGTCTGTCCCCTGGGTCTGCAGTGAAGGAGAGGGCAGGCTGCAGCAGCGCTGGCCTGGGACTCCGTGGTCTCTGAGGAGAAGGTTCTGCCTCCTCTCAGGCTGGGGAGATAAAAGGCTCTCCATGGCAGGGCTGGCTGGCACACAAGAGACATTTCATCTCTGCAAGATGGCATGCAAGTCATTTTCGATTGAAAGCCAGCCTCCTGGGGAGCCTGGGGCCATGTTCTGCCTCTTGTTTTGCACTGTACTTCACCATCCATCTAGACCCCAAAGCAGCAGGACCCACAGTATGCAGCACCGGGCAGGAAAGCTACACCTGCATCAGCCCCACCGCTGAGGCTGGGGCTACACCAGCTTTGCACTGTGTGTGGTGGGAACTAGAGCTCTGAGTGCCTGTCCTAGGAGTAGCCTGGGGACATTCCCGTCCTGTCACCCACGGGGCTTGTCTCTGCATGCTGGCCGTCGCACCCAGGCTGTTTTGCCACCCAAACGCCTGAGGTTTTGCCCCATTGTTAGGGGGGCTGACCAGGGCACCCACCATTCCCCTCCTGACCTGCTGCTGTGCTCCTAGGCCTACCTCATCTACTCCAGCAGCGTGGCGGCCGGGGCGCAGAGCGGCATCGAGGAGTGCAAGTTCCAGTTCGCCTGGGACCGCTGGAACTGCCCCGAGAGGGCACTGCAGCTCTCCAGCCACGGCGGGCTGCGCAGCGGTAAGGAAAGCAGTGGATACCACTACCGACACCCCCCCCCCGCTGCTTCAGGTTAGGGCCGGGGGGACCCATCTCTTCTCAAGTGCCTCCTTTTCTTCCCCATCCCAACCTGGGATGTGCCTCTCCCAGGAATGCCCAGGGGTTCTGTACAAGAGACAGGCGTGGGTGTGGAGGGACTGGCAGCAGGCAAGGGACCAGGGCCCCAGGCAGAGGGGAACAGAGGTTTCAGAGTGGGGTCTTGCAGAGGCAATTACAGCACAAGGTAATGCTCAGGGACTGGGATCAGGTCCCATCAAGATTATCTGCTCAGATGCAGGCCTTGCAGGTGTTAAATGAGAGCCAAAGGCTCAGTGACGTCAGGCGATTGCTACACTGATCCTGGTGGCTAGGTGTATGGTCACTGCTCCGAGCCCTGCACAGTGTCCAGTGGAAGGGAAGACTCGAGGGCGGTGGGGAAGGAGCTGTTTGATCCTTGGAGAAGGCCACTTTCCCTCTGGGGTGTGTTAGTGAGATACGAGGACATTTGGCTGGCTGTGCTGTACCACCACTGCCGAGCTCCCACAGGGAGAGCCAAGTGCTAAATTTATCTGCACTCTTGGAAATGGCACGAGTCAGTCTGGTTTGCATTTGGGAACTTCTTTGTGCAGTTCAAGCCAAAACAAAGCTGATCTGACATATAGGGCTTCATCTCCCCTCCACTCCGCCCTGCCCATTGCAGGTCTCTTCCTACACTGTCTCCTGCATGGCAGGAGTCATTTCCAACACTGTCTCACTGTGGAATCTGCTCCCCTTGTATTCCCACTTGGCAGCAAACCGGGAGACCGCTTTTGTGCATGCCATCAGCTCCGCAGGCGTCATGTACACGCTGACCCGGAACTGCAGCCTGGGGGACTTTGACAACTGTGGCTGTGACGACTCCCGCAATGGACAGCTGGGTAAGGAGAGACCAGCGGCCATCCCTCTTCCCATCCCTGGCAGCAGAGACAGCTCTTCTCTCCTCTGCTGAGGCCTTCAGAAACAAACAACTCCTCTTCCTGGTCCCTGCACCTGGTAGAAGTGCCCAGAGCAAAGCTTTGCCTGGCTCAAACCAAAATAGCTCTGTGGAAGCTAATGAGGCCACCTCCAGTTTACACCAGCTGAGGCCAAGCCCTTGATGTTTTCCATTACTTTCTAAATGAGCATGAAAGCAGAATGGGGTGGCAGTTTCCCTGGCTCAAATTAAGAATGACTCTGTTTAAGCTGCTGGAGGGAATGACTGTACCATAAGGCAGGGGAGAGGATCTGATGTCGTGCATCTACATGGCAGGTCTGGTTAGAGCAATACTGACCAGGTACCTCAGGACTCCCAGGGTCAGCAAGACCTGGGTGGCTCCAGAGCAGACTTACCAGGAGGGAAAGCAGGGTGGCATTCATAAAGCCCTCCAATGTTTGCCAGCATGGCAGGCACACGAGAGCATAGCCAGGAGAACCGCTGTGGTAGCAGACAGCCTTTATCCCGTTCCCATCACAGTGGTACCCAGGCCTGCAGCCACTAAGGAATCCTGTGTAGAGAACCCCCAGCTGCACTGCTCCAGCTCTTGGCTCAGCTTTCATTGAAAACATTGACATTTCAGTCTTTTGTTTCGAAATGAAAGATGTCTAATGTCAAATTACCAAATCTTAATTTTAAAAGCCTTGCCTCAAGCAGCAGCACCAGCGTCGGTATGTGTCAGTTTATGACAAACTCCCCTGGAATATCCAGTATTTAACAAGTTGCTTTATTGGCTAATAGTTTTAAAACAGCCACTGGTGCTTAGGTGTCTGAGATGTGGGGTAGCCCATCTCTAGCAGAGCAATGACACACCAAATTTTATCTCTTCTGGAAAACAGAGTTACTCGTGCTACACTTCCTTGCTCCCAAACAGCTGTTTTTATGAAAATTTCCACTATAAACTGAAAACCTTGGGAAGCAAAGAAAACATTTGCTTCAGTCTGAAACTGTGATTCAATTCTAAATGCCGTTGCACTGAATCCAAGTTGGTGAAAGGTTTGCATTCTCGGTCCCAAGCACTTGATTTGGACTTCATTATCCACTGTAATTACCCACCTCCCATGAGACACCCCTGCCTCTCCCTGAGAGAGGGGACTGCCATGCTCTGGTGAAGCCCAGGCAAGGGCCAGGCCTTTCAAGAGAGGCTCAAGGCCATTAATCCACAACTCCCAAGATGTACCTCCAAGGTGTGTTACAGCCAGAATGTTCCAGATCTCAAATCTTCACAAAGGATGTGGTATTCTTCTCTAGGAGGAAAAGCAGCAAACCACTTGACATGTTTCCAGTCAGCCGAGCTGTTACCAAGCTCCCACGCAGTTAGGAAAAGTACCCTCCACATCTTCCTATGCAGTTTCCCAGTTCTGTGCTGATTCCTTTGTTTCTTTATGATAATTGGAAAATCAGACCCTTCTGGGGCCTGATCATCAGGATTCTGGGTGTACCAAAAAGAGGGCCTCCTCGATATGTGTGTGCCAGGCAGGGGTTGTTTGCTAGCAGAGGGGAATCTGTTCTCTCTGACCAGGATGCCTCCACCAGTTTGCTAATCCATGTTAGCAAGACGGTGTCCCTGCAAGTCAGACTGAACCAGCTCAACTCAGGGGTTGAGGGAAGTTGATGAAGACCCAAAGCTTTATCAATATAGCTGCTGGCGAATGATAATGAACTGCTTCTGAATCCTGCACCATAGAAAGCCTGGGAATTCCTGAGTTTGTCACACAGGACATTGACTCATGCAGGCAATGTCCTATGCTACTATCCAGGCTTCAACACAAATGCATGAGCTGAAGGGGAGGGAGTTGGGGAGTATCAAGAGGCAAAAGGCTGGATTTGCCCCACAGCCTCCATTCCCTCTGATCACTTCTGAGACCCTTTCTCATCCCCAGAGCCACAAGCCAGGTAGGCGAGGGGCTGGCTCCCTAACATCACACATCTCATCTTTCCCAGGGGGCCAAGGCTGGCTGTGGGGTGGCTGCAGCGATAACGTGGGCTTTGGGGAAGCCATTTCCAAGCAGTTTGTGGATGCCCTGGAGACTGGACAAGATGCTAGAGCTGCTATGAACCTGCATAACAATGAGGCGGGTAGAAAGGTGAGCCCCTCTCTCCCCCCAGACCTGAGAGTGCACACCAGATTGGCTCTGGCCATTCACTGTGCACAGTCACAACTTGCTGTGGCTGAAAGCACATGTCCAGAAGAAACAACCACCCTGTCAAGGAGAAGGAGATGGCAGCAGTGCTGACGTGATGGGTGGCGCTTGTTGTAAGGTAGCAAACCTTCTGTGATTACACTGTTAATGGCTTCCTGCTGCCCTCTTTCTCTCTGTTCAAATAGAGGAGTACCATTAAGAAGCAAATCTACGAGCTTTAAGCCAACAAACCCTGGGCAGGACCACTGTGCAGGGAGGGTCAATGGCAAACCCCTCCTGAAGGGCCTGGAGCCATGTTTCTCCATGTACTGCTGCATGAAATGACCCCTCTGGGTTTTTCCTGAATCCCCTCTCTCTCCCTCACCCCGTAGGCTGTGAAAGGGACCATGAAGCGGACTTGCAAGTGCCATGGAGTGTCGGGGAGCTGCACCACCCAGACCTGCTGGCTGCAGCTGCCTGAGTTTCGGGAGGTGGGCACTTACCTCAAGGAGAGGTACCACAAAGCCCTGAAGGTGGACTTGTTGCAGGGCGCAGGGAACAGCGCTGCCAGCCGGGGTGCCATCGCCGAGACCTTCAGCTCCATCTCCAAGAAGGAGCTGGTCCATTTGGAAGACTCTCCTGACTACTGCCTGGAGAACAAGACGCTGGGGCTACTGGGCACGGAGGGCAGGGAGTGCCTGAAGCGGGGCAAGGCGCTCAGCAAGTGGGAGAAGCGGAGCTGCCGGCGGCTGTGTGGGGACTGCGGGCTGGCGGTGGAGGAGAGGCGAGCTGAGATGGTGTCGAGCTGCAACTGCAAGTTCCACTGGTGCTGCGCTGTGCGGTGCGAGCAGTGCCGCAAGCGCGTCACCAAGTACTTCTGTGTCCGCAAGGAGAAGCGGGAGCGCAGCGGCGGTGGTGGGGCCGGGCGTAAGCTCAAGAGAAAGCTCTAACTTGTTTCTGCTTCTCCATGGTCCCGTCTGCCCCTCTCCTCTCCTGCCCTCCCCATCAGCCCCCAGCACCATTTCCTTCAGCTTACTTCTATTTCATCCCCAATGCTGCCACACAAGGGGCTGGGTAAAGAGCTTATATGAGACTCCAGGCCTTAGCCATACATGGCGTTTCCCATTAGTGTAGTGGGTGGATGACTTCTGGGAAGACCCTTAAGTGTTGGCAAAGCAAGGTGAGATTTGGTCCGTTCAACTCAGAGTCACTCTATCCAGTGACTATGGTTTTCTTGTTGGAAACACAGGCAGTCTCAATGGCTCCTGCTTGTTTGAGCTTGTCTGTTCCCCAGCAACCAACTGCTCTGGGCTTTTAAGTGAGGTCAACACTTAGGAAAGCACAAGGAAGCAAGATGGCACCACCAGAGTTGGGAAACCCAGAGTGGTAATCTCTACACCAGAAGATATTTCTAGTACCCTAAAAAAATAGAGGAATTAAAAAAGTTGTTACTGCCTTTTATTACATACTACACTATGAGGGAATAGAAAAGGTGTGCAACTCCTTCCTGCAGTAAGCCAGCCTTCACGAGTCCCATAGCGTCACTTCCCATCCTTTGACAGCTTTGCTAAGCTCTCCAGTGCTTTACTTTGAATTTGAGATGGCAGAAGCGAGATTGAAGCTTCTGCCTGATCTGCCTATTAAACAGCCATCCTAAAGAGGAGTCCCATCATGGGGTTTTAATATGTTTTCTCTCTATCTTCTGAGCATCCAGGTATGGTCTCCCTTTTCACCCCAGCATCCCTGCCAAAGCCCTTGACTGATGCCATAAACATGCCCTCACAGTTCTCCAGTCCCTCTTTCCTCCTATATCTCTCCCAGAGAAGAGCTGCCAGCTGAACCCATTCCCCAGTTCCTGGTGTACTTGCCAAGCACTCTTACCCTGTCAGCTAACTAACTAAATACTTCCTCCTAGTCTGAGAAAATAATGTCAGTTACTATTTAATGGTGGTGTAAATAGGAAAGTGAAGCACTTTGAAGTTTAATTTATTGCACAGTTACTGTGATGTATACATAACAGTTTTCCCTCTACCACTTATTGTATATATTCTATAGGCTAAGCAAGAAGCAGGAAGATCTGGTTGAAGCATCTCTGTTCCCTTGCCTTGGTTGGGGTAGGGAGGGAAGAAGCTGTCAGCTGCAGTACCTGGGGAGGCTAACTGCACCATCACAGTGATCTCCCCTGGCCTGTGAGGTTATCATCTGCTTTGCTGTTTGAAGTGTCCTTTAGCCACATGAGAAGCCAGCAGAGCTGTTACTCACTATTAGACCTGTCTTGTAGCCAATACTTGTAAACCAATAGCCAATGCAATAAATCAGTAGCCAAGTGCTTGCAAAACGTTGTTGTGTCTAAGTAGTTGGTTGTCTTTGGATGTACATAGTTACAGTGCTGGAGAGTAAAACCCAGCTGCTTACCCATCTGTTGAGCACCAGAAGAGCAGACCAGTTCCCTCCACACAGCACAACCTCAGCCCCCACCAGGAGGAGAATCAGCCTGCTCTCTCCTTGAACTCTCTTGAGGTTACATCTAACTGCAATGCAGTTGCCAGGAGCAAAGAGTGTGGGTAGGGGGCCAGACAGGGGCCCAGTTGCCCACTTCAGAGATGCTACATTGAAGACACTTGGCAGTCTGTATGTCTCTTTTATTTATCAAATACTCCCTTGATCCTAGGACTGCTTCACTGGGTGTGGCAGTCTGCACCTAGGGCAAGCTGGAGTCTCTCCAGAGCAAGAGCATTCATGTCAATCTGGCGCTTCCAAAACTGCAGGAAACAATCTTGGCCCATTCTCAGGGAAACCTGAAACTTCCCCTTCACACACAGATCGCCAGCTCTTTGCGCACAGGTTCTTACTAATACAGTGACCTCGCCCTCGGTCTCTTTTGCATTTCTTCCAGCAGCTCCTCCACCCGTTGACATGGTTTAGTGGTGGTCTTGGCAGTCCTAGGGTAACAGTTGGACTTTATGGTCTTAAAGGTCTTTTCCGACCTATTTGATTCTGTGATTCTATGTCCCTGTGGTGGGAATGCATCCTTGGACAGGAAAGCAAAGATGTGGTGAGAGCCTGTCACTTAGCCGGGAAAGCTCCAGCACAGGCTGGCTTGAGGACCACTGCAAGGCAGAGGACAGCTTATACCCCCATGCCCCTCTGTGCCCACCATTCCATGGCCAGCTGGAAAGGTAAGAAAAGGAGAAGATGTGGAAGCCGTTTCCCACTTCCTCCTCACTCAGCACCTCACAGGGACAGTACCACCCCATCCCTCCCCTGCCGACAGTACTGCCCCACACGTTTGCCTGTGAAGGCCATGGCAGAGCCCAGGACGTGCCCACTGGGCGCAGTGCCTCCTGTCGGCGCAGGGGCCGCGGGGGGAGCGTTACAAACACAAGCCCCACCGCCACACGCTCCTTTCTCTGGGCGAACACAGCGACACCGCAGCTGCAAAATGTGCTGACCTCAGCAGCAGGTCGGGGCCGCAGGGTCCCCCCTCCCCGGCGCAAGGAGCCCCGAGCGGTAAAAGCCCTGCTGCCATTGTGCGGCAGGATTGGATGCTTCCATGTATTCATTTCGGTTTAATGAAGGCGCATTCCTCAGAGGAGAAATATTTACATTCAGCTTCCCAGGTGGTCACCTTCGCCCAGATGACACACAAACAGGCAGCCCCCCGCTCCCTTTTCCAATCCAAACCTCTTTAGAGGGCTCGGGGAGGAGGGGGGCTGCTGGGGGGAAGCAGAATAGAGAAGGGAACAAAATGCTAATAAACCAGCCAGCCAGCCCTTTTCCCCTCCCCTCTGTGGAGTCAATGGAAAGTGTCATTTCACATGCTAATCCCCCTCCGCTCTCTTCACAACACCTTTTCCGAAAAGTGTTTGGGAAAAGTCCTTGTGGCCCGTTTACAGCTCCCTGCCGCTTCGGATTCCTTCTTGTCTAAGGCCGCGGCCCCCGTGTGGGTCTCTCCCTCCAGCAGGGCTCCTTACAAAAAACATCTCAACAAAGACTTTGGAGTTCATCAGCCTCCCACTGAAATTCACAGCTGCTGAACAAACTAATCCCCTCTCTTGGCCTTTCTTCTTTTCAATGGGTTCTTGGCTTCAAAGACACTTTGGGAAAGGACTTTGTGGGGACTCACACTGCTCCCTCAATAGAAGTTAGTGCAAGCATTATCTTCAGAGCAAGTGGCTTTACAAACAAATACTGCCTAACAATCTCTGCCCCTCCAGCTCCCCCAAACACACACAAGCCTAGCCTGCAGACATGATGTTATCGGCGACAGGATTAGAGCTCTGTTCTCTGTGCCCAGGGATCTTTCCTACTGCCCCCCCCGCCCACCCCGCCCCAAATTCTTTGTCAACCCAAAGGCCTTCTCTCCCAACAGAAATGGTTTCTCTGTCGAGCTGCAAGGGGATGCTGTGGTAGCATATGCCCACATGGGAGGAGGCAATGCTGATGAGCTGCTGTACATAGACCAGATGCTGTTACCAGCCAGCTGAGATAGTGCTGTAATCAGAGGAGCATTTTCCAGCGGGGTTTGCAAGGACATATACTGCACCATGGCCACTGAGCTTCCACCACAAGACTCTCAAAGACCCTTGAACAGGTCACCTTGCTTCCCCCTGCCTGGTTTCCCTGCTACAAGTTTTAGGGACAGTGCTCACTGGGGTAAACCTGAAGCAGAACTGAGCAACAGTAGGACAAAGGGGCAAGCAGGAAGGACTCACAGCAAAGGCAGGATAAATAGCCAGTCTCTGCACGAGTCCTTGGCAGCAGGAGTTGTGTGTGCTGGAGGCAACTAGAGTCAAATACATCTGAGAAATACATGGAAAACACATGCTTATTTCTCAGCAGTACAAGTGGGCTGAGTTAAAGGGAGGGGCTGGACTGCATAGGGTGTATAACTGGATCCAGAAAGGCACAATCTAAGAAATACCAGGCTTGTTAAATGATCTCAGGAAGCTAGGACTTCCCTGATATACTTGTTAAGCAAATGCCACCTCCAGGGCTACCAGCTCACTTGTGTTATGGCCCCTTCTGATGCTGTACAAGTGCTGCCTTTGAAAATCAGCTTCCATCTCCTTGGTGGGGGACAGCCAGGAAGCCAGACTGGTTGCTAACTACTCCCAGACCAGGCTGCAAAAGCTATTCCTTACACTTGGAGTTTGCCTCTGCCAGCAGCAGAACTAACAAAGGCTGGCTTTCCCTGAATGCGTGTGCTGGGTCCGTAACACCACAGAACTCTCATAAGCCTTGGTTCCTTCCCAGCAATAGCCCTTCAAATCTTCCCCATCCAAACAGGCTTCCTCAACCTTTACTTCCTCCCATATCCCCCAACCACAAGCCAAGTAATACAGTCCTGCTTACTTCAGAGTTTCATGAGTGCTGGCTGACAGCAAAAAGGAAACAAATTTGAGATACTCTTTTTTTGCAGAGCTAGTTGGATCCCCCCAACTAACTTAGTACTGACGTTCTATCAGCTTCAGCCTTCTTACCTGTTTGAAAGCATAAATAAAATCAACCAGCAGATTCAGAAGTTATTAATTATAAGAACAGACAATTCAATGGTATAAACCTGATTTCCACATAGGTCAAATCCTTGTCCTGGCTTAAGTGGCACGGCTTTAGTGGTGTAGCACTGATTTGCAACAGGAAAGGATCTCATCAAGGGCTCTGTTTACTTACTGACATACTTCCAACTCCCAATACCAAGCATAAAATCCCCAACACTGCTATAATTCCCCAAGGGAACCTCAGCCATCGCACGGACCTTGTTTCTAATGAGATGAACAGCCACAGCTGAGGCAGGTGATCTGGAAAAGATCAGTTCTCTGATCCTGCAACCTTAAAGAGCAGGTAAGGCCCAAGGCCTCACCACAGCAGGATGCTTGCTGCCCACCTCAGCAAAGCCCAGAATCTGGCTCACCCCACACCATTCTCAACTGCCTGCCTCACCAAAGCTGAGAACTCAGCTCTCAGTGGGTGGCCCTGCACACTGAGGGAAGTCCCTTGTAGCCAGAGGTGGAAAAAAAAAAAGCTAGCAGCATCACAAAACACAGCTTTTATTTCACTGTTCTGTAATCTCAGTGCATCAAACCGCAGCAATAGAAACACAGCAGCAACAAGGAGGCACTTGGACCTGGAAAGGACAGAACGAGTGTGTCCTCTCCCTCCCCTGATTCTCCTCCATCCTAAGTCTCATGGTATAGCAGGCTGATTCGTGTTAAGTCACTGAACCACAGGCCCACGATGGTATTATTACTCAAGCAGCAAGCAGAGGAAGTAGGAGCTGGCTGCAGCCAAAGGTTGGGAAGAAGCCTTGCTCCCAGCTAAGGCCCAGTGATTACACTGCCTGGTAAGCATGAAAGAGGGTCAGAGAGGAAGAGAGGGAAAGACACACACACACAGATATGCCCTAAAATTCCATCTGCCTTTCCAGACTTCTTCCCCACAACTGATACGTTTCACTCGTCTATTTTACCCTAAATGGAAAAGCCACAGTGATGAAAAGCTTCAGCACAGCCATATCCTTGAAACCTGACAGCACCAGCTCCTGCAGCATATTCCCACCACCTTTGAGAACCACCTTTGCATGCATCTGTTACTTGTAGGC